TTGTATGACTACTGTTAATCTACAAATGTTCCAAGTTCTGATATTTTCTTGTTTGAAATTGCTCTTGATTCTTTTGTAGGTATGGCTTTGGATTTGCCAAAGAGATTTTTTAGGGAAGATGAAGAACCCGAAGTTGTGAAGATCAACAACAGCTGCAAAACGTCTCTTATGAAGAAATTGAAGGATCGCCTGCCAAATGAGTATGAGGAAGTGAAGCAAGATTCGGTGTTTGCACATATTTTGGCAATCCATGAGCGTTCTCTTGGATACTCAGGAAAATTGATACACAGCTTCTTGTGTAAGTAGCTGGATACTACGAAATTGCATGAGCTATGGTTTGTGTTTGCTAGGAGGCCTCTTCTGTTTTCTCTTGAAGAGTTTTACGCTGTCATTGGGCTCAATTACGTGAAGCCGGACAACTTGGACATTGAGGAATGGATAGATGATGACGGTTTCTGGAGTAGATTGCTAAAGAGTAGGAGGGCTATTTGCTTAGTGTCGATAAAGAAGAAATACTTGCTCGAATGTCACAATTGGACGCGTGTGGACAGAGTGCGCTTGGTGTACTTGTGTGTTATTGCTAGTTTGTTAGTTGTGAATGATGAGAAGGTTGCTATACCACACTCCTACATCAAACTGGTGATGGACATTAGGAAGCTACGGGTTTATCCATGGGGTCTGGACTCATTTGACCATCTTGTGTCATCGATCAAGGCAGCGAGGGTCAAACTAACGCAGCCTTTGAGCTATCCTCTGCATGGTTTCTCATATGCTTTGCAGATTTGGATTATGGTAGCCATTCCTGATCTTGGTGTTATGTTGGCAAAAAAACTTAAGAATGATGGCATTGTGTTTCCGAGATGTTCAAATTGGTCAGGAATTGCAAAGATATCATATCAACAAATCAACTTTCTAGAGTCCTCCTTCGGTTCTCAGGTGAGTTTTCTTGTCTCTGTTTTCCTTTTACATATCATCTTCCCATTTATCTATTGCAAAAGTGTTTTTAGTCTTGGTTTTGGCTTTTATGATTGCAAATTGTATATAGTATATCATTTGGATACTAATCTTAGTCACTTCTTTATAAACCACTAGATAACAGTTGAAG